AGCTGTTCCAGCTGTTTCGACCGATATGGTGGAACCGATTGGTCTCGACAGAAGTTCAGTTGAATCAAAAGCCGGCTTGAACGTCCAGCTAGAAGCTTCAGGTGGGCGCCGGGGGGTGAGGGTTGAGGGCTACCTGATCCCTAAGATCACTGTGCCTGTGGCCATGCCAGGATGGCAAGTGTCGAGTGCAGGGTCATGTTGGCCCGCAGTTCGTTCGGCACTTCCGGCTTCCTGGGCATGGCTTCAAAAATCGACACACAAAGGTTTGCGGATGTATCGCATTGATTTGGAGTACGTCTTTCAAGCATGTATGCAACTTGTGACCACCCTTTTTAACCTTGTCTACCTAGATAGGGATCGATCAAGGACCCCAGACCCGTAGCAGGTCTCTTGGCTGCTAAATGAGAACTTCGAACATTCCTATTTAAGGTCCTAACTTAGCGCTTCAAATCAAAAACATTCCTAATTTAGCGCTTCAAATCAAGCCTTCAAGGCTAAGGATTGGACTTCTCAGGGTGAACATTTCTGGACTATCGCGCTCTGGGAACAAAGAGGAGATGCTTCAACAAGCTCTACACCTGCAACGGAAAGGAAAAGGGTGTTGCTGGGAAGCGTCTTCCGATTCAGAGTATACGGTCTTGTGGTTCTGGTTGTCACAAAGCCACCGTTGTGTCAACAACTACCATAGCTTCCTTAAGACCGCACCAACGAAAAACACAAGGACCAGTAAACACCTTGGTCAACATCGTCGCCTTCGCCACTTCTTGATTACAAACATGATGATTGCAATACTCATCACATATGTCTTGAACCCTTACCCGCAGCCCCATACCTGGAAACCAAAGGTACAAGCGTTAGTTACTGAAAACCCATCCCCATTGATCCAAACGGCATGCCAGGTTCGGATGAAGGCCAACCTCAAGACCTAAACCCTACATGTAGGGTCTAAGGTTCAGGTTTTGGCTACCTTGTTAGGCGTCTTGCGTTCCGAGAACTTCAAGAAAGCTTTGTTCTTCCAAAGCAGTGTTCCCTCCAAACCACATCATGGACTTCTGGTACCCCCAGGCCCAAATTCAAACCCCCTTACACTTATAAGCCCCAGCTTCCTCTATGCGGAAACAAAAACTTGAAACCCAGGGCCACCTAATTACACCCTATCCCTGAAGCCCAAAAGCTTACAAAAAAAAAACTAAACCTAAACCCTAAAAGAACCTACCGGGCCCAAGAATCCCAGGGCCGGGTTCGAACTTTTCCGCGGCGATGGCTTTCAGAATCGCCTCCTTGTCCTGCTCCTGCGGCGTCTGCTAGGGCACGCGGGGGTTTAGGGTTTAGGGTGGGTTTTGTGTTGATTTAGCTCGCTCCTTTTCGATCTCTTGGGGTTTGACCATCGGGTTTAGTCGGCCATCCAACCCGAGACTTCATATAGCGAATAATTAGAATAGGGTTTGGGGGTCCACTATACTAGAATTAGAATAAGGAATCCCCCCAAGCCCTATTCTAATTCTTCAGGCTCCTATATCCGCCGAGGCCACAGGCCTCCGGCGTCTTGAAGGTAAAACTAAGTACCCACCACCTAATCCTCCTCCCTGCATCCCAAAAATTTACTGGGCACATTTTCGACCCCCAGCCCCGGCTGGCCCCTCCTTGACCTGTCCTTTCCCTTCGTTCCAGTCCATTTTGGCCAATTCCAGACAGTTTTTCTCGCCCCCCTCTTCTTACGGCAACACAGGCGGTTGAAGGTTTGGTTGCGGAGATTCTCCGACAAAGTCCAAGAAGGGAGACCAGCAGTAGTCGACTTATGGCCGTGCCCTGAAGGAAGGGCAAAGGTTGTCGACAAAAAACGCTCATCTCTCGTATTCGTGGCCTCAATTCTCGAATGTCCAAAAACACGTTGTTGCACGAACTGACATTGCAGGTGGGGCGAAAAGTTGATGCGGCCAAGAGCTTTAGACCCTGTTCGCGTTAACCCGTCATTCGACCACAACACGTTTTCGAGTTTTAGCTACGAAGCGAATAACACTTCAAGTGGTTTATCTAGATGTTGACGCTTCGTTGACTCGATGTAAACACTTCCTGAGAAGTCTGTCTTGTCTGTATCTGTTATCAGTATTCACCTATAGACTGGCAGTCCGCTGTTCGGGAGGGGCTGCTGCACTGTCGAGCCGAGGCGGGCTGCGTAGCGTTAGAATATGAATGTTTAACGCTTTGAGAGAGGCTCCTGGTTTGGGAAACCCCCGGTTCTACACTTGCAAGTCTGGGGATGAATCTGCAACGGAGATGCCAGGGACAGAGACACTGCTTTAGATTCGGGCCTCATTGTAGACTCTGCATACTTCTAGTGCACAGCAACCCAAACCTGAACCCTGAACGCTGATTCATGATGGGGTGTCGTAGGATGCACAGAGCACCCCTAAACCCTAAACCAGGACCCGTTGTGGACAGAGGTCCTGGGTCGCCATGCCGTTTTCCAGCACGACCTCCAGCCCTTGAGCCTCAGATTGCCATTAGGGCTTACGATACAAATGCCATACTGTCGCTAAATTTTCAGACCCATTTGCAACAGGGGCCCTGGTGCCCGCCGGCGGATCTCTGATGAGGGCGCAACTCTCGCTTCAGAGGCTTGTCGAGGGGTTTGCCTACTGCAAGTAATAAACTGGCTACGGCCCTTCTAAAAAAAAGAAAGCTTGCCCCAAACAGCCACAGAGCTAGCAGGTTGATGGGGAAATTCTGCTCCCTGACCGACTTGGCCACTGCTGATTCCTTGCTTCTCCAATGCCACACGATCCTATATACTACCCCAGCAGAATCCAGTAAAGAATATGCAAAGCCCTTGCAATAAAACCATGATAAATTGGAGAAGTCAGGTTCGCCCGGGATCAGGTCCTTGCTCAACAAGCGCGTCTCTGCTTCCTTCCTGGGATCTGGAGTGTCAGCAGCAGATGCGTCAAGGACTGGTATGCTAGTATATGGGTAGTTCTCTAATTCAGGGTCCAGGTCCCCTGTTAAGGTCCGTTTTAGAAGGGTGCCGTATTACTTTTGGGACCTAAAAAAGGACCCTACATGTAGAAAACTACCCATTGGAACATCTCAAAAAGCGGTGCAACGTTTCAGAGCCCGGGCTCCCCTGTCTCGGCGGAATGGTAGTAACGATGTCGAGCCCCATGTCACCACTCATGATGGCCGTGTAGAGCTCGAAGTCACACCAAATCCTCGAGAAAGGCGTGGCCTTTGGGTCCAAGATCAGGAGTACACCCTTCGCCTCATGAAGCGCCGCGTAGAAGGACGTGGACGTGATTTGGACTGAGATCTCTTGATCGAGTTCGTGCTGGCGATTGGCATAGCCACACCTTCGGCTGCGCGTTTCTACCAAGCTCTAGCTCTTGTTGAGCATCCTTAAACCCGATAGCTTGCATTGCAGGCGGGTCTAAGCGAAAAAACAATAGAGCATCTGGCCGCTGAGCCACACCCAATACCGTGCATCCGCCACAAGGTGCCGAACTTCTGCGTGGCGCCGGCAACCAGCAACGAAGTCGAAGATCGACTCTCCCCACCAGTGACTGCAATACCATACTGGCACGCATGGCTGTGTAGACAAGAGCTCCTTGTAGCTCGCCGAGGGGCCATTGCACGTGACTTTCCTTACGTCCCCAATAGTCAAAGGAATGAAAGGTTAGAACGCAAGACATCCGCCTAAACCCCCTAAACCCCAAACCTTATACCCTAAACCCCAAACCGGGCGTTGAAAAGACAAGCTTCTCAGGGGCTGGGGCCCAGTCACCACCCTCCATGCCAAGACGCAGCGGCGGAGCATTTAACCCAGCCTGGAACCGTCCACGCTTCCTGGGCTCTAGGGGTTTAGGGTTTCGGGTTCTAAAGTATCCAAGGGAAATCAACGGAAGAAAGGAGAAGGAACCCAGATCTTAATCCAAGCTGGGCGCAGGTTCCAAAGCCGAGTCTCAGCTTCACAAGAAGGTCCAAGCATGGGTTTCCATCGCTCCGGTTCTCTTCGACCTGGCGGATGATGGCAATCGCTCTGGGCAGCGAAGCGTCCTCTGACACCTGCGGGCCGATAGGCTTTGGAGACGACGGCACAGAACGACATACTTGCACAAGCTATCCACCAAAAAATGACAGGGCTTAGGCTTTGGGGATTGGGGTTGTGTTGTGTGGTCAGGAACTATCAAAAGTACGTAAAGAGAATCTAGGGCCGGGCGGCGGGTTTTATGTTTGATTCGTGTACGGCGCCTGCAGCAGCTGCTGGCCGACAGCAGGAGCTGAGCGCGGATCGGTGCCCAGACGGAGCCAGACCCCTTGAGGAGGCGACGTCTGCGGAAGGATGTAGTGATAGGCCTCGGATTTCGGAATACGGAGCTTGGGTTCAGGGTTGGTCGGGTTTCAGGTTTCGGGGTAGAGGCTTTTGGGGTTTAGGGCCGCGTTCAGGCTTGGTCTTTAGGTGCGTTCTTGGGCAGGGGTTGCGTAATGGCATATGCCCTCCCTTGAGCGTAAAGGTGATAGCTGTGATTGTTGGCATACTCTCTTCACAAGTGATACGATTTGGGGCTTGAGCTCTGTGTTGGAGCTGAAATATTTTTTGGAACCAGGGTTGAATGCCAGGGTTTCGAATCTGTCACTGTTGACTGATGAGGTTGAGGGGAGCCTGGGCCTATGCCTTGCAGCGTGGTTGTCCGTCAGCAGCCGAGGCGCGAAGTCGTACCTGGGCGATCCGTGCGGGCAGACATCCGAAGCCTGAAAACATAAATCGAGGGGCCGCCCCTGTTGGTTCGCAGAACTGGTGAAACTCTGAAACTCCTGCTTCGCTGACGCTCTGAAGCTCCTGACGACTCGAACTTCGGAGCTTCGCTGACGCTCTGAAGCTCCTGACGACTCGAACTTCGGAGCTTCGCTGACGCTTTGAAGCTCCTGACGATTCGATCTTCGGAACTTCACTGACGCTCTGAAGCTCCTGACGACTCGAACTTCGGAGCTTCGCTGACGCTTTGAAGCTCCTGACGACTCGAGCTTCGGAACTTCACTGACGCTCTGAAGCTCCTGACGACTCGAGCTTCGGAGGTTCACTGACGCTCTGAAGCTCCTGACGATTCGAGCCTCGGAGCTTCAAAGACGCCCGGAAGCTCCTGACGACTCGAGCTTCCGCGCTTCACTGACGCTCTGAAGCTCCTGACGACTCGAGCTTCGGAGCTTCACTGACGCTCTGCATGAAGCTCCTGACGACTCGAGCTTCGGAGCTTCGGAACGAAAATTCCTGAACCACCCTGGCGTGCAATCCATACATCGTAGGCACTCAAAATCTAAGAGCCAAAACACAAAGCCAAAAAATTGAGAGACCTTCAACCCCGCCCAACACCCTCCCTCTCTTTCCAGGCCTTGGCGGTGGGGAGGGCATGGCCTTTTATTGATACGGAGGGGAAGCCACGGAAGTGCCGAACTAGCACCAGCCGCTGTTTGGGCTCCGCGCAGAGTCTCAGGACATGACAAACCTAGAACTCCCGACCCCGAAGTCGACACCCTAAACCCTAAACCCTTTCTGCACAAGTGCAGGTTCAACTTCTCCGGCACCAGATGGTGGCCCGAGCGCTCACTCCTCCAGAGGCGTCAAGGCCAAGGGTTTCAAGGGTCTGGCTTATGGCGCAGTGAGGTTCAGGCTTAGGGGGTTGAGGGTCACGGTGCCGTGAAGTTTTAGTGAGCTTGTGACAATTGGGGTGAAAATAAGGGACCCAAATCTAGACCCTAAACGGTGGACTCCTCAAGAAATCCACAGATAAAGTACACCTCGGTCAACGATGTATAACACTTCTAATACTGTTAGCAAACCCTTCTAGCAAGCCTCGAAACACCCCGATATCACCCTGTATTGGAGAAGCCTGATGACACCTTACCCTTATCTAACTTTGCGGTGGACGTGCCGGGGCCCCGTCCAACAACAGTGCACGGGGCGCGCATGGGACGGCACAAGGGGGATATAAAGGGTACTAGTACAGGGCGACATGTACCACATGTAGTATGCCATGCACGACATGCACGAAATTCTGCATGACAGGTGCACCACAGTGCCACTGTAATGTACCACATGCCATTGTGCCACTCTGGCCGTGTCAATGTACAGTCCCAAGCTTAGCCTGACCCCATTTTTTCAATGCTAAACCATGTTATGTCACCCTAATCTTGGTACGGTACATTGGACCGGTATGCATACGGTATGATGGTACACAGGGTATAGCGCGCATCAAAGCGCGCCGCAATGTGCACCATAGAAGCGTCCCATGTTACCATCAATGCACCAATTATGTACCTTGGGACTGTGCAACGATGTCCAACGTGTACCGCGAAACCGTCCCATACTGTCCCTTATGCACCACTCAAGCGCCCCAACCGTACCAACGAAGCGTCCCTATGTGACATAAACCGTATCAAAAAGTGCATAGTCTTAGAGAGTTGATGATCAAAACTGTAGGGTGCTGACAACACCCTACAGTAGCAAACCTGATAACACCCTATAGTAAACCCGGGCTCATTTTTGCCACTCCTCCAGCCGTGGCAAAGGCGCGGGAGGTCGCTGCGAATCGTGAGCAACTCCTTTGGACTAGGCTCTCTATGCTACAGAACTGCGGGGGGGTATTAGGGCCAGTTCAGGGTCGGCAGTTGTGGTGTTGGGGTTTACAGTGTGTACACTGTGCATGCGGTGGGTGCGCCTTTTACTTTAGGAATAGGGGCGTACCCACTAATCGCACGCTTGCGTCAGCATGTAGTCCCACCCCAACTATTCTCAATTAGGGTTTAGGGTTCACGCCCCCAACCCGGGGCTTTCTCGCAGCGCTGCGTTTCACAGCAGCCAGAACTCAGATGGATTACTGGTCCTCGCGGCCTGTGCCGGCCGCTCGACGAGAAGCAAGAGTTCCCAACAAACAGTTCGCCGCTCGCACCCTGAGAGTCGAAAGCCGGGCGGGGAAGGGCGAATTTTATCACGCTGAATCCTTTTCGTAAAAAGCGTGTTTTACATTGGGAGGGCGGCCCATCTCGTGCAAAGTCACCCGGCCTTCCGGGCCGGTCCCCCCTGGAATCCGCCAGCTGGCGCCCCCAGCCAGCCGAAATTTTTCGAAGAAATTGGCGGAGTCGGCCTCGGACCCCCACTGGGGGTAACGGCCGAGAAGTCAGCAGCGGGGCTGCGTCACTACAGTCCCTGCATACCGGGAGGCTTTAACCTCCCTCACCGTTCTGACGGGACGCTCGGCCGGGGGCCTCGGTCGGAGCCTCGAGCGCCCATGCAAATGGTCAGCGGTGGTCTCGGCAGTTTAGGGCTCAGGGTTCAGGAGCTGGTTTGAAAGTTACCATATCTGAAAGATTTTGCAAGGCTTACAGCGGGGGGGGTTCTAGCGAGCAACTCCATCTCAGATACCATAAGAAGGAAAGCGCATCACGTACTGTCTACATGAAGTTCCAGGGCAAGGACGCAGAAAAGTGCAGGGCCAAAATATCCTCACTTGGGTTTGTAGCTTCTGTCAACTCTGATCATGTAGAATAGCGCGCGTAGGCGAACGATGCGAAAGACTAGGGCTTCTGCGGTACGTCGCTTATAGATGGGCTCTCGAGGAACAACGTGGATTGGTAAGGTATTGTGCTCAAGCTCCTGCAAAAACCGGTAATGCTTTGCCTGACCGGCTTTCCATCAGACAGAGCATTCTACTGCTCTGCGTGCAAACATGCACGTCGTCTTGGCAGAACTCGCCCCCGTTAATAGCACCCACTCGTCAGGTTCCGGCCCGTCCTGCAGTGTGACCGCCCGCTGCCATGACTGCAGGTTGCTCCTCTGAAACGCGTGGAGCTGGATGTCGTCAGCCTCTGCCTGCAAATCGAACTTTATGCCGTCACTGCAAGAAAGCATCGACTCGTCGGCAGAAGCTCTGAAGCCCTGCCAAGCTGCAAGAAGAAAGCCACCGATTGCACAAGTAACTGCAGAACACAAAGCCCTCACACCGTTCCACGCCTCCAAGACAGGCTCGTCGGGGTTGAAGTCGTGGATGTCGGGATTCCAGCCACTTGAAGTCTCCGACATCTGATCAGGCAGGGAAACTTCGAGATCGAGCCGCCAGGCATTTGAGGCGGCTCCAGAGCCTGTAGCTAGCACTCCGGGTGGAGCGGGCTGATCTCACCCGCAGTTCGGGTAACCGTCTTACCACATGCTCCTAAGGAATGCTGTGGAAAGCCCTTGTCGTGATGGGGGAGCTCCCCCAAGGAGCGGATATATGTGAAGCGTTCTGCATTGAGGAAGGAGCTCAAGACACTCTTCCCGGCACTAGCCAGAAAAAGAAGCCAACGCAGAAGACACGAGGAGCAGCCGATATTTGCGAGGCCGCGGCTAGCTACACTGCTCGGATATGAAGCCATGCAAGTCCTTCGCTCCGATCGACCAGTTGTCTCGGGAGGAAACCAAAATTCCAGGAGCAAGTGGAGGCAAGGTACTGAGCCCTAGACCCCTAGACCCTATCCTCATTCAATTCAAAAGCCCACAAACGGCCAAATGCTGGCGCAAGCTCCTGGCTTCGAACCTGCCCAGAAGAACCCCGGAACTGGCCTGTTCTTGTACCACCCGAGAGTTGCGAATGCCTGGGCCGGAAAGACGCTCCGCGGCTAGCAACCTGGGCGTCTTCTATAGGCGAATGGGTTTAGGCTGTGGTTGAAGGCGAGGCAGGTTCTGGAAGAGCAATAAAGCCTCCATAGAGAACACCACTTGTGTAGGAGCGTTCATTCAGGCATGATTGCCCTGAATCCAGCAACCGCTGCCCACTGCTGTGAAAATCTAAAGACTAGACTAAGCTGGAAAACCCTCGCACCATTGTCTCTAAAGCCTCAAACTCCGGCCTCGCGATCTTGTGTACAAGCGTCCTGGTCTGCGCCATGGCATTGTGCAGCCACTCCTCTCGAACGGCATGGGTGGCTTAGGGCTTACAAAGTAGGGTTCAGGATCCTGCGACACCCAACACGAAGCCTTGGAAAGCGCAAGTTGATAGTTGAGGACTCGTGCAAGGATTGAAAGGGATTGAAATTACACCCTGATGTCTGGATCCGAGCCTCACACCGCGTAAGAAACTCACCTTCAACAATAATTATGCTTGGGACAGGTAGGGATTCTTATCGTGGTGGTACACGGTACGTTA